TATACTTGGGACAGTTAAGTTAACCCCCCCCCATAGAAAATTTCTGGATGAAAATTATCCCATAATTTTGCTCTCATTCTGCTCCACTAATTTCGATTTTTTCTCCATTACAGTGGAGAGACTATGTGGCCTATTAGGTGGGGGGAGTGAATTAACGCTAGCCCCCTCCCAGTGAAAATTCTGAAATTTGATCATTCTCATTTTGTTCTCCGAGTTTTGCTCCATTTTGCTCCACTATCGGCGAGTTTTGCTCCATTACCAGGAGAGGCCTACAGAGCTCCCAAGAATCTCTCCCATATAGCCTGTTGACTAGACAAGGACAACAAATAATACGGCCATTATAGTCAATGCGCTTTGCACTCAAATGCTTGAAAATCAGTTGCAGGTGCATCAGGAAAAAGAGGCGAGGAAAATGAGAGCAGCTTCAGAGCGCCTGAGTGCTCAAAGCGTGGCAACCGAAAGCAGCTCAGGTAATGGAGCAGAACTCGCCGATCATGGAGCAAAACGGAGCGAAGCTCGGAGAACAGAATGAATATGATCAAACAAAATTTTCACTGGTGTGGGAGGGCTAGGAGAGATTCTTATAGGAGCTCGTAGGTTATTACAGGTAATAAAGCAAAACTCGCCGATCATGGAGCAAAATGAAGCAAAACTCGGAAAACAAAATGCGCATATAGATACTCCAAAATTTTCACACGTGTTGCAAGGAGAGATTCCTAGGAGCTGTGTAGTTCATTTCAGAGCCGCTTTCGGGTGCAGTGTGCGAAGCACCTGGAGCATTTCACGCCTATTATACTCAATGCGCTTTGCACTCGAACGCAAGGTGCACCAGGGGAAACAGGCGAGGAAAGTGAGAGCAGCAAAACTCGGAGAACAAAATGAGCATGATCAATTTCAAAATTTTTACCGGGGGAGGCTGGGAGAGATTCTTGGGAGCTCTGTAGGTCACTCCTGGTAATGGAGCAAAACTCGCCGATAGTGGAGCAAAATGGTGCAAAACTCGGAGAACAAAATGAGCATGATCAAATTTCAGAATTTTCACTGGGGGGTGCTGGGAGAGATTCTTGGGAGCTCTGTAGGCCTCTCCTGGTAATGGAGCAAAACTCGCCGATAGTGGAGCAAAATGGAGCAAAACTCGGAGAACAAAAAGAGCATGATCAAATTTCCGAATTTTCATTGGGGGGGCTAGCGTTAATTCAGCCCCCCCCCCACCTAATAGTCCACATAGTCTCTCCACTGTAATGGAGCAAAAATCGAAATTAGTGGAGCAAAATGGAGCAAAATGAGAGCAAAATTATGGGATAATTTTCATCAAGAAATTTTCTATGGGGAGGGGCTAACTTAACTGACTCCCTATACTTTCCCTTCATAAAATACGAGCTGTTCTCCAAGGATCCATTTAGGTGGCTCTCAGTGATTTTCCTGTCGATATTTCTTCTTTATTGTTGGTTAATGATACAAAAGTTCGATAAATTAAATCAATTTTCTTCTAGAACAACAACAACCATAAATGTAGAACACAATGACATTTTATTTCAAGCTCCTCAAACCACGAACCCTCTTACCGTCATAAAAATTGACGGCCAGCGACCCCATAAATTAGGTATTAGTATTAGTCTTATTAAAACTTATTTATTATTCCGTAACCTTCGAATATGTATTCAACCATTTGTCACGGCACTGGTCCCTCAGAAGATTACATGGGCATTTTGTACAATAAATCTAGTTGTCACAAGTATCCTTAATCCGGTGTGAAAGAAAGCGAGCTGCAATACAATGGGCCAAATTTACCTTTGAGTTAATATTTTGCCGCTACTGCCCAAAATAGTCGGACACTCACCAACCCCCTGTGAAATTATTATCGAAATCGGTCAGGATTGTTCCGAACAGTGACGTAGAACTTTCTTTTTCATAAAAATAATTTAAAAAAATATTTTGAAAGTAATGAAATACTTGGTAATATTCTGCTGTGCTTACAGAAGCACACAGAGAGTGTGAACATTATCGACAACTCAATTGTTCAAACAACATTGTCCATAGCCTGTAAACTTTATTCAACTAATTGTCATCAATTCTACGGCACTGCATTTTTTTTTCTAAGCTCACCAACATCCATCCCATCCCTCAAACAAAATACAAAAACTCTCAACGAAATATACCCAACAAATAGAGGCGTTAGTCGGCAGATCGCGCACAAGAGATAAGTTACCAGTCCACAATATCCCCTCACCTGGGGGTTGAAGCTTATGCTTCATCTCCCCACAGGGTGTCAAAACGACGGGGGTCCTGTGCCAAAACAAATGGACCTCGAGATTTATGTATATACAGGATGCGACACGAATAAGAAGCCATAATTGGACACAATGGCCGGTGTGTGGCTATGGGCAAAGGTGTTTTTTTTTTCAAAATGGGCAACGCTTCAATGGGACCCTCTTTCTCTATGAATGTACCGTTTCCGGATTTAGTTCGGTTTTCTTTTAACTGTAAACTGTAAAGAAAATAAGCATTAAGATGTTTCTGTCAAAATAGCCTTTCTTTCTGCACTAGCACTTCTATTATATTCTATTGGAGATGGTTATCGGGTCAATATTAACCATTGAGTGGAGCTGCTGTACGATTAGTTTTCTACTTTTGGGTTTTCAAATAGTAATGGTCAAATGACGTTGAATCTTTAGAAAAATATAAGCAGGGTCTGTTAGATAGGTCAAACCACCAACCGCAAGAGGCGTTGAAGAATTCATTTGCATCACAAACTAAGAAGCTGATTGTAGGTGCACATCAATCAAATCAAAAAGTACATTATTGTTCAGGAAAAACTTTTAATTGACAAAGCATATCAACTTAAATATTAAAATAATAGAAGTTGTAGGGTGATCTGGGACAAATCAATTTACACGACGGTCTACTCGATTTCACACTGAATTTTTTATAATATTCTGTCGTTTACATAATAAAAGAAATTTAAAGTTAAACGAAAGGCACTTTTCTAATTAAATATTGCCCTTGTCCGATATGCACGTGCGAGAACCACCCAGTAGTGCGTTCTCGTAGTTCGGTGCAAATTTAGGAGTAATCCCCAACCTGGCTTTACAACAATATGTGTTTTCACCAACACTAAATCTAATACTTCAAAGGTCAAATCACGACGTTTACCATCAGCATATTTCTTCCTATCTTGTTGTCTTTCATGGTTTTCTCTGGATTGACTTAATGTATCAGTAAGTATTCGTAGATATGGAGTTATTTGAGATATAAAGTTGTCACTTTCGATGATAGCTCTAAAATCTCATTCCGAGTATGGAGTATGGAGTTCTCTACCAAAAGTTAGATAAGCTGGTGAATATCCAGTAGCTTGACACACAGTAGTTTTCATGACAAAACGCACCTAAGGTATCTTTTCTTTTCTGCTAGTATTATTGTTGGCTGTTAGGATGGCCAGCTGATGACTTTCCTTGGAGTACCAAAACGTAGCACAATTTCATCAATTAGGCACCTGGAACATGTTTCAGCTGTGGCTACTTTCAGCGGAAACATCTTAGTCCATCTGGTGGAGGTGTCCTCCACAATAAAGACTCATTTCTCTCTAAATGGTGCTTCTGGAAGCGTACCTAAAAGGTATATTGCAATGGTTTCAAAGCGTTGCGCTTGTACAGGTGTTTGGTCCAATAATATCGAGGAACAATTTTCTAGAGAGTTCGTTCTACCCCATAATGTCCTGCGAGTGGCGAATCGTGAGTTTCTTTCATAACTTTCTCAATTGAACATTTTGGTACCACATGTTGGGCTTCTTCTCCATCATTACATAACCTCTATTACTTCATTTTCGGATTTCGACAACACAAGTCTCTGGAGCCTCAAAACATTTGATTATGGATGCTATGTCAGGATCAGACAGTTGTTGTTCTCGTATTTCCTTAAGGTCATCGGTGGGCAAGTTAACAGTCACAAAACATATACCTATAGCAAAAATCAGCGTGGTCACTATCGTGACAAATTGGGCGAGATAGTGTATCTGCTAAAACATTTTGTTTCCCTGGAACGTACTCAATTTGTAGATCGTATGGTAGTAATGACAGCGCCCATCTAGCAAGTTTTTTTGATGGGGATTTCAACGACATTAACCAATGTAGAGGTTGGTGGTCACTCTTTACAATGACTGCAGAGGATTTTATATATCCCCGGAATTTTCAAAAGGCCCCTACAAGAGCCAACGCTTCCCGCTCTGTCGTATGGAAGTTCTTTTGGGCATCATTCAATAGACAGCTGGCGTATTCAATTGGCCTTTCCTCTGGACCATACCCCTGGAGTAAAGCTGCACCAAGAGCATATGAACTAGAATCCGTTCTGATAATGAATGGTTTTGTAAGGTCACTCTGTCGTAAAATGGGTGCGCTGGTTAACAACCACTTTAGGTCATTAAACGCTTTTTCTTCAGTAAGTCCCCAATTCCAAGTAGATTTCTTCTGAGTCAGTTGGCTTAGCGGTCTAGCTACAACCGCAAAGTTCGGGACAAATGTTTGAAACTAGGAGCAGGTTTGTAAGAAACTCAGAGCTTGTTTCACATTGTTAGGAGCACGCATGCTTAGAATTACAGCTATCTTGCCTGTACAAGGAGTGAAATTGTCTTGGCTGATCATATGGCTAAGATATTTTACCTCATTGGTGCAAAAAACACATTTTCCTTGATTAACATGTTATTTGAATAATTTGAGCCTCTGGAAAACCTCATCTAGGTCTTTTAGGTGGTCTTCAAAAGTGGATGACATAATTATGAAGTCATCTAAATAAGTCAACATACTTATATGTGGTAATCTTGAGCAAAATCTTTCAACGAGCATTTGGAAGGTTGCGGGTGCTGTTCTCAATCCAAAAGGCAAAGCATAGGGCGATTCACATATTCCTCGATGATCCCATCTTCAAGAAGTTCATCGAGTAACTTTTCCGAAATATCCTTTTGTGCAGGCCCAATACAATATGGTGGTTGAAAAATAGGATTATCATTAGTCAACTGCAGCGTATGTTGTCAGTTCCTTGCCCTTTTCAAATACTGATGCATGTGAGTGTAGCAGATGCTTCAATTGTAATTTCTCAATAACAACTAAATTCTTCCCATCAGTATCTTCAAGTTGAAACGCTACCTGAGACATTGCAGAAGAATTTTGAACATCATTCTCCAAAGTTTGTGCAGGATTATCTTCAAAGTACCATTCCCATTTTAGAACGTGTAACTTCATTTGAGCATTCAATAGGAAGTCTATCCCTAGGAGTGTTTTGGTATGCTCATGACCAGGAATCACAAGGAAAGTAGTGGAGATTCTTCTTCCTTGAAGTTCCACAGTGGTTTCATAAACTCTAGTTAGTACTTGACGTACATGTCCAATGTGTATCAGCTAAGGTCATTTGCAACTGTGTCTCTAGATAGGGTAAATTGGATTCACATAAATGCTTAAACAACAAATCTCCGGCGATTGTATTCTTGGCGCTTGAATCGACATAAACAAGCCCATGCATGTTTTCCAGCAACACTAACTTCAACCAATGGTGTTGACATTACTGAGACGGTACAAATATCTGTATTAAGAATGTCATGGCTTGAAGTATAGGTTGTATTCGAATTGGAGGCAGGTGGTTTATTCGTACGACAAGTTGAACACTTTTATATCCAGGAGCTCCACAGCCATAACAGGATATTCCAGTAGCTGAGGTTAAATTTTGGGAAACGTTACCTCTTGGGAGGTTATTTGATTAGCTAGCAGCAAATTTGCGGCATATTTCTTGTGCATGGCCAAAATTTTGGCAAAATTCTACGATTGAGTAAAGCATAAACCATGTCAATTTGATGAATAATATTTAACTCAGGTGGTTTTGGTTATGTAGCAATAAGGGCTCGACAAGTATTAACAAAAATATCTGTTGGCTCCCCGTCTTTTTGTTCATGCAAGAACAGCTTCTTGAAAATTTTATAGGAGGGCATATTTAAACCATAAGAGTGCCAATGAGGCAGGTGGAAATTGTGGTTTGAATTTCCTGCCACCAGGCTGCAGCATGACCATCTAGCAACATTGGCAAACCTTTAAAAGCATTGCCATTCGAAACATTGACACAATCCTTGTAAACCGTTATTGAATCGATAAATGCTTCTACGTCTTCATTCTTTGTTTCCTGAAAACCTTGAGGCACAATTAGAGAAGTTTCCAGTCATGGAAAGTGGAGGAACCTGAGCCTGAACAGAAGCCTGGGCCATATTCGCAATCAAATCTTGAAGCTGGTTATTTGTCATGATTATGGGATCCAATTTAAACATTACGATTCCAATTACCGAGGAAATAGATCTTTCAATGTACGCATCAGATTTTGATTGTTATAGGAAAAATTGTACCTTTTCTTGACATTGGATTACAGGTTTTGCTTCTTACGTTCCAGAATCCTAGAATTTCCTCTAAATCTTCAAAAACATCTCTGTTTCATGCAAATATCTTCCTTGACTCTTTGTGGTATATAATGGTTGTACTGGCATTTCTGATATTTACAATTTCTTGGGCTTTTTTGTAAGTTATCATCACTCATAATTCTAGCAATAACCCTTCAGCTTTCCAAGAGAAATAATGAACTTCAACAGATATTCAAAGTACATTCATGAATAATCCACTAATCCCTACAAAATGAAAGTAGGTATTCCACTCCGATTGACCAATAATACCTAATTGATGATTTTCATTTAAAAGACCTGCCAACTATTTTGCATCTTTTACTAGAAAAATTGCCTTTAAATCAAAACTCTATTCTTTTTCATTTAAACCTACGCATTCCTCATTAGAAAATGAATCCGTTAATAAATTTCGCACGCATTGTTTCTCAGAACCCGATGATTAGACGATAATTTTTGCAAACGTCAAAATTTGATACTTTAGGAAATAGGATCGGCATCGGCGAATGAATAAAGGAGACCGGGAAAAACAATGAAATACGCGATTTGTGCAAATTCCCTAGCAAAAACAGGTGTTTTCAGATCACAGACATTGTGGCTAGTCAACATTTGTACGAACAATCTGCTTACGAAATAATAGACTGGTCAAATTAGCAATATAATTAGATAAGTTAAAGCCAAAATGAGTCTTGAAAATGGTGGTTAAATTCAATATTATCAAATGCTAGGAAAATCTAGAAAATGATGATTCTTTTCCGCTATTGACATGATTAGATGTTGGAATAATTTTTTGAAATTGTCATCAGCTTTTTGTTACCGGACTAATAAATTGCATTTTCTAAAAATATTTTTTTATCTCATAAAAATGCAGTTCCTTCACCTTTGATGGTGTGACTTGTTCAATTATGAGTTTCTCATTGACATTTTTTTAAGTTCTTTGCACTAGAGGATAATATAGTGACTGGGAATTTAAGTAGGTCTCGGAATAAATAGACTTAAGTTACCTAATACGAGTTTCTTGGAATAGAGGAAGTATACCTTTGGCCAGAAAGCATTTCTGGTTCATTTTTAAAACCAATAATTATTATAGTAAATTAATTATGTTAAATAAAAAAGTAATTACAAAATAATTATTTTGACTTTTGATACCCGAAATACTCATCAAACGCGAGCAAATTTTAAATAATTACGTATCATTATATCCTCCGATTTACAAATTTTTTTTTTTGCATACCTGGGTTCAAAATTAATTTTGAATCCCCCCCTGTAGCGTTGCAGTACCTTTTTCAAAAAAGGTGTCGGACTCAGGTACGATTGGTAGCTTATGAGGTTTTTATACATTTTGCTCCGGGTGGAGTGTTTTCAAGGATTAACAAGGACCCTATTATAGGTGCTAAAAATAACATATTAGTGGTCTAGAATAATAAATAATTATAGAATCTGCATTGAGCTGACAGAAAAATACTTTCTCCTATTTAACAATAATTATTTATTCCACTTATGATTTTATAGTACAATATTTTCAATAATTACAGATGACTTTTGAATTTCGTATAAGTTGAAAATTGTCATTTTGTTTTTAATAATAAATATTGAATCTTATTTGAATATTAATTGAAAATCATTCTTGGTAATAAAATAATACAGGGGGGTCCTTTGGTGTCTGGAAAAATTCTCAAATTTCAGTGATGACTTTGAAATAGGGAGGTTATTTATTTTCGATGTCTGATTCAATAGTGACATTTATAGTTTTTTGGGTGAATCGATTGTAGGTAGGTACTGAAAATCAAGATTGGTTTTCTTTAAAAAAATATATATATTTTCAAGCTGTCTCTACAGGTGAAACAGTGTCCATATAATAAAACGGCATCAGAATAATGGACTACTTTGTTCAAAAGTTAGGTATTTGATATCTCAGTCAATAGGTTCAAAGTTCCCTACAATTAAAACAAGTGAGAATTTGTTTCAGCATTATCAATATCGGTAATTTAGAAAATGATTACCTACTTATGTGTTTTATTTATTTATAGAGAAATTAATCGCATCTGCTTTGCTTCTCTGTTATCAATTTCGAATGAGGAAATTTTTAGTCATGAATTTCTTCGATGTTTTTTTGGTGCTGTCCATTCAAGTCAAAACATTCCAGAAGAGTATTCACGAGAAGGACTAGATATAACTAAGAAAGAAGTCCAACACGCCAGACAGTTGTCAAAAAACAGGAAAGTTACAGGTCCAGACGGTGACTACTTGAACTTAACCTAAAAAATGAGGAGTCACTACACGCAATAGTGAAGCTTTTTAATATGGTTTACCGATTGGGCATCATTCCTTCTGACTGGCTTAAATCAACATTTGTGACGCCACTCTCTCAAGATTTTTCTGAAGATCATCCATAAAAGAATATACGCAAAGTGCGAGTCCTTCATGGTTTGGCCCTTGTTTAGCATTTAAGTGCTAGTTCAAAGCTGTTGAAAAGTTTCTGTTCCTGTATACGGACTATGAGAAAGCGTTTGACAAGAATGTACGCCGAGATGATAGTCGCAAATCTCTACTGGAATAAGACTGCATAAATCAAGATAGACCAACAAATGTTTGATGAAGTACAGATAAAAAGAGGTGTCCGGCAGGGTTGCATCCTTTCGCCATTACTTTTTGATATTGAATCAAACAAAATATGCGAAAAAGCATTAGAAGACTGCAGTGATGGAATTTCTATCAACGGCGTGAACATTAACAATCTTCGATATGTGGACGATACGGTTTCAATCGCCGATTCTTCTGGAAGGTCTTCAAATATTACTTGATCATTTATCTACTGAAATTGGAGAATTTGTATTTAAATTGAATGCCAAGAAAACTAAATGGATTGTGATTAGTAAGAACTAGTTTGGAAGAGCTATTCTTCAGGTAAGAAGACAGGTCTGTAACTCTGTCCCGAATAGAGATCGTTGTCCTTATCGCTATAGCGCTTGCTGTCTTTTTCTCTCTTGTCGAATTCAGTGAAGAGGAGATGTCAATATCTCTTTTCGTTACAGTCTCAGCCCAGGGTTCAATCATACAGATAGCTAGGATATCTGTGAGTGATTATGGAGAAACCTAATGGTGACCTTCGATTATGTCTTGATCTTGATCCCAAGCATTTAAAAGGGAGTACTTTTTGATACCATCTGTAGATGAAATTAGCTGAAAATTGTCTGGCAAACGGTATTTCACCGTTTTAGATATGCCTCATGGGTATTGGCAAATAGAATTGGATCCAAAAAGTTTTGACCTGTGTAGTTTTGATAAGCCATTTGGCCGATATAAGTTCTTAGGAATGCCTTTTGGAATCTCATCTGCCCCGGAGGATTTCCAGAAAAAAAATTATGAATTTTTCAGAGATATAGAGGGTATTGAACTTTGTTTTGACGATTTAATAGTGACAGGTGCTACAGAACAAGAACATGATCAGAATTTAAGATTACTTTTAAAGAGGGCATTGGACTACAACGTTAATAATTTAATCAATCATATGCAGGAGGTTCGTGCCAGGATTGAACAAGCCAGAGCATCATTTGAAAAAATGAAGTCCGTGTTGTGTAGTCGAGGTCCCTCGTTCACTCGTCCTGCTACGTCTTCATTATTCTCTATTATAGGAACCAAGAGTGGACTCTGATAGACGGCATGTGTAAAAAACTAGAGGCTTGTGAAATGTGAACCTATAGACGGATGTTAAAAATATCTTGGATGGACAGAGTGCGCAATGAAGATGTGTTAACAAAAATATCAAAAGATCTTGAAGTTATGTTGACGGTTTAAAAGCGAAAG